GACTCCTCAGAAGTGAACACAAACTGCCTTCCACTGAGCGGGGATTCCATTTCCGAAATGAATTGTAAGCCGGACGGCACTTCATTGGGATCCTCCTGGGTCCCCCAATCTGGCTGTTTCTCCTGCTGCTGCTGATGAGCAGGGATGGATCCCTGCAACTCCTCCACACTCACTGGTCTCCTCCCGCCAGAACACTCTGGGGCACACTCCACTGCAGGGGATGACACACCAGGGGAATCTGATTGATTGGTCTCTCCTCCAGGCTGCCCTCTGGCCGCAGCTAATGACCGCTCCCGAGCAAGCCTGAAGCGGTCCTCATTCACATATTTTTCACGGAGGATCCCACTTGCCTGCTTCAGCGACGTGACAAGGGAGCTCTGCTGGCGAACAACAAGCTCCAGCGAGTCTAGCTCGGGTTCTCATTGCCTGTCGCTTGTTGCTCCACACACGGTCATAACTGGCCTTCATCTCTTCCGTAGCTTCAGCTTCAACTTTGCCAGTTTCTCTTCCTCCCTCCCGATACGGGCCACATGAGCTGACACTCTCCCACGATAAGAGTGTACGTGTACGACTCACCCCTTTTTGGCACATTTCCCAAGTCCTCGATAGCATTAGGACTGGTACTCTGCCCTGGGGGGGGTCCTCCACCCGGGTCATGGCCAGGCTCGGCCATCCAGCCGAGGGCTTAAACAATAAATCTAGCCCCAGGCTTGGTTTTAGGCATAGAAAGCTGCAGAGCCTCACTCTCTGCTTCACAAGCTGTCTGTGCAGCAGCCACACCCACTTCCTCCTGACGAGGCCCAGCTGTAGGATAGCTGTAGGAATCCTAGAAGGGTGTGCCAATTGCTAGACTGCTCCCCAACCCTTAGAGCGCACCAGATTGTATGTAAGATTTGCAGCTGCATGCCTGTGGGTCAGCCAGCTGGATTGGAGTGGAGTCTCCTCTAGTGGTGGCCAGAGGTAGTGCAGGTTGTGAAAGTGTATCACGGCCAGTCTTATATGCTCAAAATAAGTCCCCCTCATTCCCTCTTTACCCCAGTCACGTGCACGCCTCAGTTAGCTAGTCACTGTGGGTGTGCATTTTATCCATGACAGTGCTCTTAAGAGGAACCATTTAGGAGTTAGAAAGGATTCTGACCTGGGGAGAACATCACTTTCCAGCCTTATCCACTGTTCACATTCAAGATGTGGAAAACTGTCAGACAGGCTACCTAAGTCAACAGCGTTGGACCCAGAGGAGAGGTTTCCAGGGACTGTGTCACAAATGGGGAACACCAGATGTGGGCCTCCTGACCTCCAGATTCAGCAAGAATCTGGACAGGTTTGTCTCCTGATGCAGAGATCCCCTGGCGGAAGTAGTGGGTGCTCTGGTAGCTCCAAGGGAACAGTACAGCCTGAACTATGCTTTTCCTCTTATGAAACCTCTTCCATATCTACTCCACAAGATCAAGGTAGATGGCATTCCAGGTATACTCTTTTTTTTTTTTTTTTTTTCTGGACTGGCCCAGGCAGATGTGGTATTCCAAACTGGCCAAACTTCTGGTGGAAACCCCTTGGATGATCTTCAGGAAGCTCTTTGAACTGCAGACAGCCCTTGGTTTTGTTGTTTTATGTGGTCTTTTTGAGTACCATAAAGGGACAAATATCAACCCTTTAAATCTTGTTCCAAAAGGCACTAGTCTCCCATTATTTAGACTAAGCTTTTATATAAAGCTCCTCCCATGTGTCTCCTCTTGTACAACCTCTTGTGATTTCTTGGGATCTAAATTTATTTATGTTAGCTCTTCAAAGACTGCCTTTGAACCTATTATGGTTATTCTTTTTTTTACTCTCAATCACAAGGTTGCATTCCTTGTCCCCATCAAGCTTATTGCTGTAAAGTGTCCCTCAAACTTTGAAATTGTTAACACTACCTTGCAGTCCTATGTACTGTATAAACTTGCTCTAAAGAAACAAATGGAATGGTAAGGAATAGTTTTTAAAACATTATTTTTAGGTAAGCTTTGTTTAAGAGAAACACATAACAAACATAGTGGGGGTTTCAAAAATCTGAATGCAAAAGTAGAAATACACTTCAAGGACAAAGTTCTACGTTTTCCTGTCAAGACACACTCTCCTAGGCCACTGAGTGTCTCTTGGGGCATCAGGCAGCTGTTTTCTAGATTTCCAAGACTGCCACTTGATCTTCTATTCATGCATTTTTTTTGTTTTACCAGGTTGATGTTCAGGCCTCATCTGATGTCATTTTCAGGCAAAAAGTCCTTCAGGCACCTCTTTGAACTGCAGACTGTCCTTGGTTTTGTTGTTGTTATGTGGGCCTGTTGGCATTTTGTTTGCTCTGTTCCCTACATCTCAGGTGAACTATTTTGGAGGTCCCAATCATATCAGAGTAACTACTGATCCTGGGTCTCTTAATCAACGATAAAAACAAGATTTTTTCTCCCCAATGGGGAGATTCAAGGTTTGTTTGTCCTGGTGGATAAGAAAAATGATAGGAAATGCAAAATTGTACAGCCATCACCAAAAGAGGTGATGAGGGCAAATGTTCGAAAAGAGACATATGTTCTTGTTTAAGAGGAGACTGCCTTTCACTTTGTATAGATTTTCTGTTTCAGTAAGTAAAGGGAAATCTGCCTAACTGGGGAAACATACAGTAAGCCTGACATGAATTCTAACCATTAAGGACATCCAAAAATGTAAAAAAAAATCTTGACTTTTTGTTATGTTTCAAATGCTTTATGGATTGACAAACAACCTTAGACCCAGTATGTCTGGACAGCATGGTCACCTGCTGACTTGGCACCATCCACAGGCAGTATAACTCTTTTTAATAAGACACAGAAGTTGAATCCAATGAACTTTTACTTCATCTAACTGCAGCAAATGGGATGTTTTTCTATTCTTTTGAAGTGTGAGAAGACAATGACTAACCTAAGTCCTGTCTCTGCCTGACTAAACTTACTAGCCCTAAACAGGAGGGGAAGACAGAGGAAAATACACCAAAACTAGCCTCTTACTAAATACCTCAGACTGTCTACTTTCCAAAAAGGTGTCATTTGGCGGGTATTTGTAGTGTCCTGACATTTTTGAGCCTTAAGAGATGAGCTGTCAGTATATCAGGATTGGTTGATTTTCAGACATATACCATAGTTTGTGGACTCTAAAACTGTCCTATAGACTAAATAATAAACACTGATTTGGGTTATTTTCACCAAAAAAAATGTATCAGAATACACTTTGGCCTAAAGTTATGAAGAAGAATTATTTTTTTGTAAAATATTGTAATTTTCTGTCTTTTTTCATTTATTGAGAAAAAAAATAAAAAGCCCAGTGGTGATTAAATACCACCAAAAGAAATCTCTATTTGTGTGAAAAAAAAAAAGTATAAAAAATTTATATGGGTACAGTGTTACATGACTGCTCAATTGTCATTCAAAGTGCTACAGCACTGAAAGTTGAAAATTGGCCTGGACTGGAAAGGGGTGAAAGTGCCCAGAATTGAAGTGGTTAAATAGTCTGTAATTGTAAGGGCTTGCTCATGCCATGCATGTTGTGCTGCCTGTATGCAGTGTTCTGCATACCACCACCCATGTTTGGTGTACATATACAGGGCACATAGAAAAGAGTAGTTTGATGCGTCGGACTGAATGCAAGCTGCAGCATCTATAAGTATTGCTGCTCTAGCTCTCATTTAGTTTACTGATTGAGAGAAGTCTTGAAGCTGGAGTAAAGTAGCGGTAAATTCAACTTTGCACCTGGTTGCTTGTATATACGTGCCCTTATGTTCATGCAATCACCAAGAAACCCTCGAAACTGAAACCTTCCTGCTTAGACAAAAAGGGCCTCTATGGTTAAATACACATTTTTTAGCACGCAAAGTAAAGCCTGCAGAAACATTGAATATTCTTTGTGTGCAAGCATATTAGAATTCTGCGTTCTCATGGAGCTGACAAGCTTTTAATCGCAGTTTGAATAATCTGAAATTAAATATCATTTTGAGAACTCTTCACGTCTGAAGCTTTGCTTAATAGTAAAAAGTTTAGTAACCTACAGCAGTGAAGTTGGAAGCGACAGGGAGTGAATTTCAGCTGGTTCCTGATACACCAGCTGAAATTAGATTAGTGGGTTGGCCTCTCAGTAGTTTTCTGCCAAACATCCCTCAATTGAAAAGTTGAAGGAGACAGGCAGACAATTTGTAAGCCAAATAGCGCCACATACAAGCAGATTTTGACAGCTGGCTGTCAAACCACAAAAAGCGCAATAGGAGATTCCTCCATCTGCACTGTGTAGCATGTATAGAATAATACGTTTGATTTTTTTCCATGTAAATTTCTAGGTGAGAAATTCAGAAGTGGGTGAAGTGAAAGGTACTTGTTCCTAGAAAGAAAAAAAAAACTTCCAAAACCGGTAGGGGGGGGAGGAGGAGGATAAGCGAACTTTCATTTCTAAGTGAAGCTCCTCTTCCATCTGAATAAAGTTAAAAATGCAAGTATAGCCAAAACTTTTTTTTTTATAAATCCTGGATAGCGTATGTGTAACGGAAGTGAAGGCAGGACAGAGCACACGGAGAAGATGGGGAACACACAAAGCTTTATTGAAACAACAAAATGACAGACACTCAATGGGGAAATGGCAGGGAGGGTGATGTGTGAGCAAACTAGGGATGATTCCAGGCACGGGGGGTCTTCGGTGACAGGCAGGCAAACCACCCCTGGACAGGGGTCTCGGGCAGCAGGCAGGCAATCTTCCCCCTAGGCTTGGGGCCTCAGCCGAGCTCCCTCCGTGACTGGACAGCGGATTGGAGTCTCAGGCAACAGACGGGCAACCTACCCCTGGGCAGGGGTCTCGGGCAACAGGCAGGCAATCTCCCCCTTAGGCTTGGGGGGATCCAGGCAGAGTCTGGTCATGAGGGTCCTGCCTCAGCCGAGCTCCCTCCATGACTGGACAGCGGATTGGAGACTCAGGCAACAGGCGGGCAACCTACCCCTGGGCAGGGGTCTCGGGGACTCAACGGGACTCTAGCTGTGGAGTCTGGCCTAGCACAGCTCCCACCCAGCTTTCTAGGGACATTAGGTTCACGGGGACTCAACGGGTAGCGATGGCTCAAGCACTCAGGGGCATCCCAGGTAGCTATACTCCGGGCACACCATGGGGCGGTTCAAGTAAGGGTAGTCTAGGCATGTAGTAGGGCAGTTCATAACCCAGGTGGTCTGTGCGCACAAGAGGGCCAGCTCACGACACGGATGGTCAGTGCACACAGCAGGGACAGTTCAAAACACGGGTGGTCGGTGCACACAGCAGGGGCAGTTCAGAACACGGGTGGTCGGTGCACACAGCAGGGACAGTTCAAAACACGGTTGGTCGGTGCACACAGCAGGGACGGTTCAAAACACAGGTGGTCTGTGCGCACAGCAGGGACAGTTCAGGACACGGGTAGTCTGTGCGCACAACAGGGACAGTTCAGGACACGGGGGAGTTCAGTGCACACAACAGGGACAGTTTAGGACACGGGTAGTCTGTGCGCACACCACGGGCAGTTCATGGCTTCTAGGGACACTCACGGTAGGCGACTTGCAGACGCTCAGCAGCAGGCGGCTTCCAGGGACCCTCACAGCAGCCGGCTCCTCCAGGTGCCTAGCAATCAGCAGCAAGGGCCCTCACGGTGGCCGGCTCCTCCAGGGGGCCCAGCGACCAGCAGGCAGGGGCCCTCACAGTGGCCAGCTTCTCCAGGGGCCCAGCGAACAGAAGGCAGGGGCCCTCACAGAGGCCGGCTTCTCCAGGGCCCAGTGACCAGCAGGCAGGGGCCCTCACAGTGGCCAGAAACAGCAGCGGGGGTAGCATGGCTGCGAGGTCTGACCTTGGAAGAGGGGCTCATGCAGAGCTGCGGAGACTCCCACCCTGAGACATTCAGCGGAGGGAACAAGATGATTCCAGCAGTGTGCACAGGAACAAAGAGAGAAGGGCTGCTTCCTGTGCGAGTCTTTTTAAAACCATGTGGGACGCTGCTAGGTTGCCTCGGCAACGGCCGGCCCCACACTCTTCATGGAAGCTACACAGACATCTGAATGTGCAAGGGGGAAGGGAGGGGTGGAAGGATATGGCGGGGGATGGGAGAGACACTGGCACTCCATGACAGTATGCAAGGATTAGAACCCATGTTAAAGTGTTACTAAACAAACAACACTAAAATCAGCCTGTTTATGCAGTACAGCATGCTTGTTATACTCACTGTGGAACCTAAGGGATTAATACTCTGCATAGTGTACAAAGGCTGTTTGATCCTTTCTTCTCTGTTCCTCCTCTTTTTCAAACGACCGCCACTTATCTCCAGACTGAACCATAGGCATGCACATGCTCAGATTGGTGTGTATTGCTAGAGAGGTTTTTTTTTCTTGGGAGAGTGCATGTGATCAGCACAGGGCCAATCAGCACTGTTCAGACAGAGGTGAGGGGATTTCCATCCTCCTACAAGCTTTAGCTAGTGCTGGGCTGGACACAAATATAAGTCACAAAACTGCTCTAACTGCTGATGGGAAAAGGTATTTAACAGTTTATATTTACTAAAATAATTGCACTTCCATGTTGTGTGTGCTGTGGGAGACCAGATATAGTGGATGCAGGGTCCTGGGTTTAGTAACACTTTACGTTTCTATTGCTGGTTCAGAGTGTGACGAACCATCCCTTTGTGATAACATTTTGCCCTTTCTGTTTCAGTTTTCTCCCCTTTGTAAAGCTGTATATGTTTCACAGACATTCTACACTGTTTGTTTAGGGTAATTTGAACTTGTAGTCTTTCACTTCTATAGAATTCATACTGTATTGTTGGTTGTAGGGTTTTGTTGTGGGTGGGGGAAAACCCGATGCCAGGCTGTCTGGTGGGGGTGTGGGTGAAGCTGTATATACTGAACTGTTTTTAATAAAGAGTCATTCATTTCACCCTACACGAAGTTCCGACTCGTGGTTTGGGATATTGGTGAAGGATTGCCTTTGAGCTCTAATACCTGCCTTGGCAGAGTGCTGGAAGAATTGCTGGAAAAGGGACCATTGGGTGTGACGTATCGCTCCACACGAGAAAGCCCAGGTGGAATAGTTCCACCACAATTGGTTGGCAGCGGTGGGATCTTTTCTCATTGCTGGGAAAGTCCAAACCACCAACCGGGACCCCATCTTTTTCATGGAGACTTCCCTGCTTGGCCAGATGGATGTACAGGACCTCCAGAAGCCAGCTCTCCAAAGCCTGCTTGCCCCTCGGGGAGGTATCGCTGGCTCCAAGACCAGAGAGGAACTGTTGGACGAGATTATGGCCCTAGACCAAGCGGATGCGCACCCCACTTCACCTGATGCCCCCTCCGCTACGCTTGAAGCGAACACTGCTCCGCCAGAAGTGAACTCTGCTTCACAGGATGAGTTGGAGGAACAGAGCAGCTCATCGGCCCCTGAAACGCCAGGCCCACTTAGCACCGTACGGAGACCCCTATACCATTCAGATTTACGACAAGAGGTGGAGTGGCGTTTGGTTCTGTTCGGAAGCGCTCCCACTTCTGAAAAGATTTCCAAGGCCCTGGACGATGAAACCCAACTGCGGCTTAGTCACTCCCGGTCATCAAGCAAGCTAACCGGTCGGGCTGCAGACGCATTCAGGACTGTACCCAACAGCTACTGCTTGGATTATGATTTTGTTAAGGAACACTTGCTGGCCCACTACGCTCTACGGATACCTTCACTGAATGGGGACATCAGTTACAACACGCTGCCCGCAACTGGTTTCGAGTGTGTTAGATCACCAAGCTGGAGGAACTGTTGCAACTGCTGTTACTGCAGCAGTTTTACAATCGACTTCCAGGGGATGTTAGACATTGAGTCCGGGACAGACACCCCTAACCTTAGCCGACGCTAGTCGCTGGGCAGATGAGTACCTGGACAACAGGAGGCTAACCGAGCCCGCCATTCCCCCTGCACCTCGTCCAGAACTAGTGGTGCTCCCTATAGGACCACCCCAGTGACACGGCCTCTTCATGGAGGAATTTTACAACCAAGGATGAAGACATCTGGGTCTTTCACGAGGCTAACCCTCTCCAGGCTGCCACCCCGGACAATCGCTGTCATCACCAACAGGTTGTCCATGTTAACGGCCATTGGGCCCAAGGATTACGGGACACTGGGGTCACACTCACCCTAGTCCAACCCCAACTGGTACCAGACTGGGCTAACACCGGGCGATCTGTGGCCGTACGGGTAGTGGGAGGCCATGTCTACCGGATTCCGACTGCAAGGGTTAATCTGGACTGGGGGGCCAGGGACGTTGAAATTGGAGTAATGCAGAATTTGCCAGCTGAGGTTCTCCTTGGAAATGATCTGGGAGTCCTGGTCTCCACTTTTGGCATCAAGACCCCTGCTGAAGCTCACCCGGTGTCAGGGCTCCCGGGTATGACCAGAGGTGTGTGACTGACGCAGGGAAACGCAGGCTTCAGATATGTTATAAACAATATAATTTATTAAGGACTAACAATACAAACATAAACGCAGTGCAATACTAAAACATAACACAGTGCAAACAAACCAAACCAAACCACCCACAGATAACAGTACATACAATGCAAGCGTCGTCAGGCAGGCCGGGTCAATATCAATCGGGCAGGTAGGTACAGGACGGGAGCAAGCGGAGAATGGTCGGGGTCACAAGCCAGGTTCAGCAGGTAGCGGGCAGCGTAGTACAGAGGGTCAGGCAGAGGGATGGTCAGGAATGAGCCGGGGTCAGAGCAGGAGAAGTCAGCAGAAGTCAGATCAGGCAGGGTCAGCAACAAGACAGGAACAGGATACAGGGCCCAGGAAAAACACACACCAAGGCAGAGTCTGCAGGTCTGGCCATCCCTTAAATACACCAGTATAAGCAGTTTCAGGTGTTTAGCTGGCTGCAAGGTTGAGTCTCTGATTGCTGGGAGCACCCGCTGGCCAGCCCTGGTACTGCAGCCCATAAGGCAGGCGAGTCCCACCATTGCTGGCCAGTCCATTCCTGACACCCGGTCACCACTCGCCACAAAGCTAGAGAGCACGCTGCCGCTCCACCTGCTGAGGTTCCAGTAAGAGTTGAATAGCCACCCCCTGCTGAGCATGTCCTTGCCCTGACCTGGGATTCCACCACTGATTTTGCTAAAGAAACAGCCAGTGACCGGACCTTAGACCCCTATAGACGGAGGGCTGGGAGTGATCCTGGGGGATTGGGAGATGTGAGGTATGAGTGGGACCAGGGCAAGTTGTACAGGGTCCACGGGGGAGCAGGGGTCTCACCGGCAGATGGTAGTACCGAGGAAGTATCGGAGGGATCTCCTCCAGATTGCACATGATATTCCCCTTGCTGGGCATTTGGGCAAGCAACGGACCCTGCATCGCTTAACCCAGAGTTTCTTCTGGCCAGGAGTATTGGGGGATGTTCAGGACTACTGTCGGTCTTGTGAGGTCTGTCAGAAGGCAGGGAAGCCAGGAGACAGGCCCAGGGCCACTCTGAGGCCCCTACCCATAGTCGGGGAACATTTCAGTCGTATCGCCATGGACCTAGTGGGGCCCCTAAAATGGCCTAGTTCCACAGGCAAGAAGTATATCTTGACCATTGTCGACTATGCCACCCAGTATCCGGAGGCCGTAGTGCTGAGAGATGTGCAGGCAGAAACAGTTGCTCAAGCCCTGCTACAGATCTTTACTCGGGTAGGATTTCCTCAGGAGATCCTGACTGACCAAGGCACGCAATTCACGGCCGAGCTTACCCAACAACTTTGGAAGTTGTGTGGGATCAGACCACTGTACAGCTCTCCCTACCACCCCCAGACCAATGGGCTCTGCGAACAGCTTAACAGTACGCTGAAACAGCTCTTCCGAACGTTCACCATGTCCCATAAGGACTGGGAGCGGCACCTCCCCCACCTCCTGTTCGCCTACAGAGAGGTACCACAGGAGTCCACTGGGTTCTCTCCCTTCGAGCTGCTGTATGGCCTGAGGGTTCGGGGACCCCTGGATCTCCTACGCGAACACTGGGAGGGAGCAGTGGCCAAGGAGGGGACCTCGGTGGTGGCCTATGTGCTGGAGCTCAGGGAGAGGCTACAACGGTTGACGACCCTAGTACGAGACAACCTTGAGGCCGCCCAGAGCCGACAGAAATGGTGGTACGACCGGTCTGCCTGAGACCGAACGTTTCAGTTAGGACAGAAAGCGTTGGCCTTGAAACCAGTCAGGCATGACAATTACAGGCTGCCTGGCAGGGCCCGTACCAAGTGCTGGACCAACTATGTGATACCACATACATTGTAGCTCGCTGTTCAGATGGAAGGATCCGGTGAACCTTCCATGTGAATATGCTGAAACCGTTCATCGAACGACAGGAGAGTGTAGCTGCTTTTGCGCTCCGGCTACCGATGACTCAGAAATGCTTCTTCTGCCGGGGTTGCCGGGAGACAAACAGTCCCAGCTGAGTGTAGCGGATGTAGATATCGGCACACTGCTGCTTCCCAAGGCACAGGAAAAGGCCCGCCAACTGCTCCAAGAGCACCGAGGGCTGTTCTTGTCTCTGCCCGGTTACACCACCACAAGTGCCCACCGGGTAGACACGCAGG